TTTAAAAAGATTTTTTTAGCGGTGTCAAAAAAAAAAAAAAAAAAAAAAAAAAAAGCTGTGCTCTTCTGAAACTGGTTTCTGATTGGCTTCCAATCCACTATAACAGCAGACACCATTTTTGTTTTTTGTACAAACTGCATGCACAGGATTGTGGAATATCATAGGCAGTAAAGGAGGTTATTACCACCTCTGTATATTACCTGCACAGGCAGTATTTTTCAGGTTTTGGACACAGCTGTAAATCCAGTTTAAGGACATCTGCACAAGGTGCATGCAGTGTACGTACCCTGTCTTCCCACCAACAACAGGAGAAGGCCCCTCAGACACACTGCCTGAAGCATTTCCTAGTGTAAAACAGTATTGTTTTTTTATCATAGTTCCTCATATTTCAGCTTCCTAAACAACTATTGAAAATGATGAGAAATGAGCTTGCCATTGCTATCTGTTTGATAATGCAAACAAACCTTTCCTGTACATGTGCAGTTTTGCAGCAACTGTGCAAGGCATTAAATAGAAAAGTGTGAACTTTAAAAAAAGCAGATGTTTTTTTTTTTGTTTTTTTTTAGCAGCAGTCAATATGATGTGGTTGATCTCAGACAAACAAGTGACTGCCATAGATGGTCAAATGACCTGTGTGCTTGACATTTATTGGCTCAAAGTGGTTTTACCGAATCACCCAATGAAACATGGCTTAGTTTCCCACGCAAAGAGCTATATTTTCACTGTCGATTCTACAGCGATATGTAGGTGCTTTACACCACTTTTCGCAATGTCAAATGCTTACAGGAACATAAAGAAATGCTGGTTTTATGACTTTGTTTTAGATGCTTATTTATACTGTCAAGCTTAAAACGTTCTCATGTGTACAACTTCAGACTACTTTTATCATACTTTTTTTAACTGTATAAATCAACATCCATTTTGTTGTAAGATAAAAAGCAACTCAGACATTTAACGTTTTATTTTGTGTTTCATAGAAATAAAATAATAATGTGTTGGAATTCCTTTAATATATTGCCTTTAGTTATGATGTAGTTATTTGTCTTCAACATCTACCATAGTCCTCCACAAATTTAATAAATGCAGTTGATATGGCCATTTATACAAATCTTTATAATTAAATTACCCTTACTGTATGAAGTGAGAAAATAGTCATCCTAGAGTTTACTGATTAATGTTAATCAATATTAATATTTGATTCATCCTTGATAATACTCGGTGTGAGTTGATTAGTGAGCTAACGGTTGAGCAGATAGAAACTATGAAACTATTTCTTAAAGCTACAGTTACTGTTATTAAAACTACAACAGATAAGAATGAACAAAGAATTAGTCATGTACAAAATGCAAAAAATCAAGTATCAAACAGGCCTTACTTACTGTTGTCGAAATGCAACGCCCTAGAGAGATACAGCTGTCATAAGCGGCTATGAGAGGTTTTTTGGTTTCCTCAAACAGAACACAGTTGCTTCAGAACTGAAAGAAAGTTAGCAAACTGCTTCATACATGACAGGAAAGCAGAGAGGAAGTAGAGTGATGTAAGTCCTGAGAAAAAAATGGGCGTTGGGGTAACGTGGAGATGAGACAATGCAAATCAAAACCATGTATTCAACTAGAGTTTGAACTAAACGAGTTTAGAATAAAAGTTCCTACAACAGGAAATGTTACTGAGCGCCTTAGTAAGAAATGTTAGGCATGGTTTTTTGATGTTAGAAATGGTCATACTTTACTTTTTCATGACCATTTACCACCTTTTCTTTGGTCATTTACAGTTAAACTTACTGTTTCTTGCTGTTGTGCCTTGTAGACTTTCTACAAAAAAAAGAAAAACAACAACTCGTTTGCTCTTCACTCTTAACAAAGGTTCTTTACTGGAATATGGTTCCATGGAGAACCTTTAAAGAGATAGTTCAACCAAAAATGAAAATGAAATTATCATTTACTCACCCTTGTGGTGTTCTAATACAAAAGGAGATTAAAAAAAAAAAAAATGTCCCCGTACATGTCGCATGGGACCACTCTGTGATACTTTTGCTTCTTTTTTAAAAAGCTTGATGCTGATCGCCACACACTGCCATTGTATGGACAAGCATGCGCGGGATATTTTTATATATTTTTAATCTCCTTTTATGGTCCGAAAAAGAAATAAATGCATATGGAATTAGAACAACACAAGGGTGAGTAAATGATTATTTAACCTTCATTTTTGGGTGAACTATCCCCTTAACATCAATGGAACCTCCAAGGTTCTTTGAAAAATGTTTCTTCAGATTTTTAAAATGTTCATTAGACTTTTAAGAGCTGTTCACCAAAAGGTTATTTGAGGAACCTAAAATGGTTCTTCATAACCAGAGTGTACCTCTGCTTTAGCTTACTAGGAAACGTATTGTGGTACTACAAGAATTGTTGGCTTTGTATGATAAACCGCTTGTGATGTTCCTCATTTCTAAGATGCTTTAAATAAAAGTCATTAGTCTGAAA